GGTTAAGTTAGTCGTCTAACTACTGTGTGTGTGTGTGTGTGTGTGTGTGTGTGTGTGTGTGTGTGTGTGTGTGTATTTTGAACTGAGGTGGACAATTTAGGACATTCAGATTTAAATACAAAACTTTTGGGCCAGCTTTAATTTCAAATTCATATTGCAACTAAAAATACTGATTCATCAGATATGCAGATCCTGGAGCTTTAATCAGAATCTGGTTCTAACTTTTAAGTACCTGAAATTACTGAGTATTTCAGCTCATTAATGTAAGATTGTGAGAAAATTATTGGTAACAGTTGACTTATTTCTAGTGCCATCTATTTTGCTTTTACTGTATTTTATTCCCAAGTTTAAAATTGGTTTTCAGGTTACCTAGTTTATTTTGCATCTCATCCTCATCCCTCCCTTTGCTTTGTCTGTGTATAGTCAGATTAACTTTGGGCCTAGTACTGCAAAGATTTACAAACAAATGTAACTTTAAGCATTATAGTCAATGGGACTACTCCCATGTTTCAAATTAAACAAATGTTTGCAGGCTTGGGATCTCTGATTTTGAGATCATAGAGAAGGGACTTTCTATGAGACAGAAGTAAAAATGTTGACTCTATAAACAGTATAATCAATTGCAATATCTAGGTATGTTGGGGATGATCAAGGATACAAGCTGCAATCCCATATCATTTAAGTCAATGGGAGACATTCCATTAATTTCAATCAGGCCCATATTGGTTGAAGACTGCAGCATTATTACGTTGAGAGATTTTCAAATCAGGACATAGAATTTTACTCTGATACACCCCCAGACAAAGTTTTTCAGCCTTAACCCCAAAGGTCTTGGGTGTTGTTTAAAGACAAATTAAAAGATGTATGGAACTAACACAATTTAAAGATGCCAGGTTGGCCAACGTAGAGACGAATGTCTCTACGCACAACACAATTGAGTGTACGGACTTCCCCGCCAACGTACCTCAACCTGAAGAGCCACCCTGCGGGAAGAGAGGGTTTTTCCAGTTTCCACAAACATTCAGAATTGGCATATTTGTTCACAGTCAATGCGAAGGCTCCTCTGAGAACTGGACTAAAACCACCAATCAATCAGACATAATCCAGATCACCAATTGTAACATCTGTAGGTCACTATGAATTTGGATTACAGTAAAACCAGCACTGAAGTATTCCATCATCAGTTGAGGGTTCCCACTACCACCACACTTTCATGTTCTACCCAGAAAAAAATATTTTCGTTAATGCAATGCTTTGGATAAAAAAATTCCCAATTCCAGTCTATTCAAACCGGAGATTAATAGTATTCTAGGCTAGAATATCACCTAGCAAACCATGTATTTAACAGTTAGTCTGAACAGGTTTAAAGTTCAATATAGATGGTGCCTAAAAGGGAATATTAACACTATTTGAACTGTAGTTTGAATTCCTGACCCACATTACACTTTTGGGGTACATACTGAGTTGGAGTCAAGCTAATAAACTTCCACTAGACTGTGGGGGAGCCATGATTATCTCCCAAATTCTGCATATTTTAAACAGACAGATATTCTATTTTTAGCGTTGGTTTACAGTGAAAAGGGATTGGACGTTCAAAACACCTTAGGAACAGCCATTTCACCATTACAAAACATAATGGCCCCCAAGAAAGCGGTTTTGTTTTATGTATTTAGACAATCTTCAAACACATTAGGGAATTTTAAGATACATAGTCAGAGCTGTTAATGTGTTCAATTAACCAGATGTCTCTTATCCCGGAATTGAAAGCTTGCCAAGAAGAATCAAGGTTTGCATGCCTAGGTACTTCATACAATATTAAAAAACTCCCACAAATCCTCAAAGTTGAATGGCCAGTTAGTCTGAGTGCACTAATGACAAAACAGCATATTGAATCCCTGAAGTTGCAGCAACACTGATTTCATTATGGAATAAAAAGAAGCCTTTTGAAAAGAATACCTCTTATTTACAATGCTAAGTGTAAATAGTTCAGTCATTTCAGTCTCGGCAGAGAAGCTCAAATATGCCAAGTACCATCATAAATATTTCTTTTTTTATTTATACTTAGTGTTAACAATTCTAGGCCCATATTAATTCTGACTGTTTAAGCGTCCATGGTATCAATTAAAAAAAAAAAAATTTGTTCCCTCTTACGGGTTTCATCTAAAACTAACAATCACAGAATATGTGTGGGGATCTTTAAGCTTTTAGAAGTAAAAAATCTTTGTGGTCTTTACTGTATAAAAAGCAATTCTATGCCTACACGCTATAGGGAACAGCTTTAGTCTCTCATGTTTGCATATTCTAGCTGTTTGCAAAATATTTCCTATACACAGACTAGTGAATGCTGTTAAACTGCAGAAACTGTCAAAACCAGAAAACTTAAGTTTGCCCACTATTGTACAATAACCTTTCACAAGAGAGTGAACTTAATTATTCCCCTCATTCCTAAAAAGAAAAGTCATGTATGAATATGGAAGGTCTGAGCAGAGGGAATATCAAGACTGAACCTGGACTATTTATGATCAAGTAATAAGGCCACCGAAAATGTGGTCTTTTGGGGAAGGAGGGATAGTACAATAATGAACAATCACAGTCCCTTCAGTTCTAAATATGCTAATATTGCTTGCAATTACTACCCATGCAGACAAATAAAACATCATATGTTTCAGAGATATAGCAGTAGGTGCTGATTACATTTAGGTTGAATAATACAGGCAGGATAATATCCAAAAAAAAATTTTCATTTACCATCTGTACTGGCTTTCTACCTGTGTTATTTATAAATTATACTACAATTAAACTTATACAATGCATACAGAAGTTTGATTATCCTATTTGAGTACTGTATGTGTTTTAATATAAAAGGGATGGGATTTTGGGGAAAGGGAGAAGGTAGAACCCACATATAATATTACCTGGAACCCTAAAGCAATCACCAATATAATCTAGTGACAGAAGAGCAGCTCGTTTGTTCAGGAGTATCAGGCCAGAAGGGACCCCTGTGATCATCTAGTCTGACCTCCTGTATACCGCCCAGAGGGCTTCTCGGAATTAATTCCTGTTTGTAAATCGAGACTGGATGTTTTTCTAAAAGATATACTCTAGTTCAATTTTCCAGTGAAGGAGAATCCTCTTTCTTCACCACTGGTAAATTGTTCCAATAGTTATTTACTATTTCAGTCAAAAATTTGCTTATTTCCAGTCCAAATTATCTAGATTCAATTTCCAGCTATTGGATCTTGTTATACCTTTGTCTGCTAAACTGAAGAGCCTTCTATTATCAAATTTCTGTTACCCATGCGGGTAGTTATAGGCTAATCAAGTCACCGCTTAACTTTCTCGGAAGTACAGAATAAGGAAGGGGAGAACAATTCAGATTCACCTTAGGCCAGACCAGATAAATGGATGACACTGGCACAACTCAGCACTGAAGCAGCATCAAACAGTAGTCACATCTATTAACAAAGTACTGTATGTGTTCAGACAATGAAAGGTAAACTGATATTTTATCAGCGTACTCAAGTTTTGAACAGCAAGTTTTCTTTACCCTAATAAAACGTGCCAGGGTATTATGGTATTAACAGTTACCTTGATTTTTCAAGAATTTTGTTTAGTATTGTTTGTGCCCTGTTGAAGCATCAATTCTATTCAGGGTATACGAGTGCCGATAAGTTCTGAATCTCACCAGTCAGCCTCATTCTCTCTAGCTCTGCTTAATAGTTCAGTAACTCACAAGGGAAATGCAGCAAGACCTAGAAAAAGCATTTAAATTCAATATTCCCTTTATAAATTCTTAAATAATGTGTGTTGGAAGTGACACTAATCTTTCTGCATGGGTTCAACCTCATACAATTCAACTGATTTCAGTGGGAGTGGACAATGAGGTTAGGTTCAAATCCCATGCATCAAAACAGCCCCCTAAATATTAGAACATTTTGGCTTTGACACAAATGCTCTGTTAGAAGGGTGTGCAGACAACTCTAGGTATTATCCACTGAACATCTGTCAATTCTACAGATATTTAGCTTCCGAGAATAAATATTTGACTTAAGATCAGTGCTCTACAGAAATAAGATAAATGGTTAAAAACAAACAAACAAACAAACAAAAAAACCCACAACAATGCTGTAACAAAATGCTCTGCCACAAAAGCCTAGATGATTTGCACTCCTAATGTTAAAAGGTGAACTGCAAATCTTTTCCCAAATGCCCTCAACTGTACAAAGATTGATGGATTCATTTCATATTACTACAGTTTGAATGCACCTGGAAAGCTGTTTAGAGACTGCTTTTAGGAGAACTCATTACAGCAGGCATTTTTACAACATACTTTAAAACATACACTAAATAGTACATACACTACAATCAGTAATCAGTTTTCAAGAGTTAAAACACTAATTGAGTTATTTGAGTTAGCAGGATGTAATCTGATTTGTTCCAGAATGGATATTCTTAGAAATAGCTTTTTAAAATATTGGACTTTTATACAATTCAAGTTTAAGCATTTCTTAATTAATTTTATTCATTTAAATATTAAGATTGGTTTAATATGCTGGAATGGATAGATAAAGTATGTTTGCTGCACAGAAATCCAACTCATCACAGTAGTATTCTCTGTATAGTCCATTTTATTTTAATAAAGGATTAAAAGAGCTGAATAAGAACATCAACCATTTCACTGATTCTGCTATAAGTTTTAAGGACTAAAACCTGCTCATCCCCAACAGCAAACACAGGGGGATCTGTTAAGTAAGAAGTGAGGGAAGAAGAGGAAATCCCAGGAGCCCACACAGGGACTCCATGCATGGGAGAATGCAGGAGTATGGGGGGCAGGGGGGAGTGGATTTACAACACGGTGGAATGTCCACTGGTCATACTGAAAAGAGGTGGATGGACTACTGGGCTCTTGCAACCATGGAGCAACATGTGGGAGGATTCTGCTCAGATGGACCCCAAACTTTAACAACTGAAGTAGTTGTATCAAAATGCACCTGTTAAACATCAGACTCATCACTTGGCATAGTGAAACCAAATTAAGTTTAACATTTTGAATAAAATAAAAAACAAAACAAAAAAACTTTAGTCTATTAAAATGGACAGCAATTACTCAGCAAGAAGGATGCAATTTCCAGGAAGCTTGACTGTCTTAAAACTGACAAGTTCTATAGCAGAGCTGTAAAGTTGAAAAGCCATTTGAGGATAACATCTGGATATTTGTTCTATTCGTCAACTCTAGGTTACTAAGCTACACCAAGTTTGTTTTCAACACTTGAGTACTGAGAACTGTGCCCACCAGAAGTCAGTGAATAAACCTTAAGGCATATGTCCCAAACCCATTAACTCAGTTCTACGGATATCTGATATTCAGTTACTGTGATAATAGAGCAAGATAAAGTTTTATTATTTTTAATGAGCTTTTAAAAGGCTCCCACATAAATGTGTCCATGTCTCACAAAATTACGCCTATTTTCCACTAACTCTGCTGAACCCTTTCTGAAAGATGTAGTTTTCATGAAACAGATACTGCTTTAAAAAATTAATGTTTGTAGAGGCTTCAAGCATATAAACATGTGGGTCATGGTCTCCACTGTTTCACCTGCCAAGAGCATCTTCACTTGGCCTCTAAGTTTACTTAATCAGCTGCCTTCCTTTTCTTCAACTCACTTTATTTCATTCTGAAAGGATATTAAACTAGTCTCTCAGCCCCCTCCCTCTCATCAGAAACCAAACGTATTTCAGCTACTGTAAACTGACACCCGGGTGACTCCAGAAATCCATCAATACAGAAAAAAAAATTACAAGAATAGGTAAGTGACCTCTCCATCCTTCCCAGTGATTGTAAAAAAGTTGGCTCCTCAACCATCTATTTCTAGGTGTGTCTAATTCAAGAGTGGTAATGTAATCTAATCTTAAACACCTCAGTTCTACAAAATTTTCAAATCATTCTTATCAAGTAAATTAGGCAAGTATTTAGCTTTTTTTTTTTTTTAAAAATGTTATTTTAATCTACACCTTCCTGACAAGATCTCTGTCCAAGTCAGGCCCAAATATAAACTGACTGTTTAGAGTCAGAACTCGTCTTGACAAAAGGATATTGTAGAGCTAGTCACTACCATGCAGTGCCAACTATATTATTATTCTACACTGAAAGACCTGTAGAAAGTCTCTCTAATTTAGATGCCACTGACATATCGGAGAAACCTACCACCTGGTTATTTACGCCACTCAATGGTGAGACACGCTTGCCTGGACATACAAATGTCATTGGCACTCTGCCTAGAATTCCATGCCCAGATATGTATCCCAGTATGAAGTGCTCTGTCACTTCCCTACATGGTCATCTTTTTGCAAACACCATGTCAAAGGCCATCCAAATACTCTTACACTTGAGACAGAGGCATGCAGACAGTTCCTCTCACCTCCAAATCTTGACACTAACTATGGAACATAGTATTGCTCGTCTACCCGCCCAAAAGCTTTCCCTTGTTTGAAACAATTTAATGCATTGTTTTCTTCTATTTAAAAGTACAGACTATATAGCTCCCATATCTGAACTCTTATTATGCTGAAGCATATATAATATTCTTACAGCTTTTTGTATTAAGCCTTTGCCCTAAGGGGAGAGATCTTGGATGTTCATCATAACTACTGTAGTCACCTGAATTCAAAATGTATTAAATAATTTTTGCTAATATCCAGGAAAAGCAGCTGAAAGCAGTATTAGTCAAGAAAGATTCTATGAACAGACTCTAACGCCTAATGTTCATGTAGTTTAAAATATGACACATTGAGAGTTCAGAGTACTTAAGTCACAATTTATAAGAGGATTGTTCTGCAAATCAGACTTAAACAATATGATCATGCGACAAGTGACTAAATTTTAAAACATTTGCTAATGTTTGAATATACTGTTCTGTAAACAACTACCAAGAAGCTTAACATGAGTTTCCTACAGTAAGGGGGCACAAAACAGTATTCCAGTTGGTACCTGTACATGCATGCTATTCAGTAGTTGCAGTAAGGTATCACATTTGTTGACATTTGCAGCTCCTTGGCTCTCCCAGATCACTTCTTTAAGTTCCTTTTTAATAATCTTCAATGTATAAAAGCCAAATATCAATTTTATGTCCAACTACAAATGCAAAATAACTGTCGAATTATGCCTATTTAGTGCAATTATGTTCATAAGTGACACACTAATTGAATTGAATAGATTATCTACTATAATTCTTAAAAAGATGTTCCTACTCCTAAACTCCAAATTATATCATGCCCTTTGCTTTTATTGTTAGGAGGGGAAAAAAAAACATGCTTCTGGAGTGAAATTATGTTTATTTAGGTATCAAAGGTTGGAATAAAGCTATTATAAGGAACAAAAAAGGACTTAAGTTAGCTAGCACTTTAAATCAGTGCTTTAAAAAGTTACTCAGTATCCAATCTGCTATTCTTGATTGGGTAGAGTGATTAAATTTTACTGTAGGGGACGGCATACACAAAAACAAAGGAAATGAAACAAAACCAAAACCCGGACCACACCATTAAACCCTCCATATAAAAGACAACCACCTACCCAAACATTCATCACAGTAATCTTGTATCATGAACACATGCAAAAGCTTCAAATAATTTAGTGACCATATTTTCTGATTAACGTTTGCTGCAAAAATAGGTCTCTAGAAGTATAACAGTTCAGGTACACAACTGCAATTGTAAGAGTATGTACTTGAGCACTTAGTTTGCACCTGCAATTACAAATTTAGCCAATTAGGGCCAGATTTTCAGAAGGGCTCGGCCTCCATAATTGGGGTTGGATTTTCAAGGGAGCCCAGCACTCAGCAACTCCTATCGAGAGCAATCAGAGTCATTGAGTAGGCATGCTTTTAGAAAAGCTGACCCTAAATGCATAGCTGGTTGTGCCCACAATACCCAATTTGCACATTTGTGGCAACTGTGTACGTGAATTAGGCTTGCAAATACATGTGTTTGCACATCATGCCTTTTGAAAGCAAGGTCTTTAAAGCTCTAGTCTGTCCTCCGCTAAAGAAAAGATTCAAGAAAGTCTAGTTGTCATACTCCCATTATTTCTGATATTTTGGCTTGAATGAGAGCATCACTTACAGCCCAGTCTCAGATCTCCAGACAGATTTTGTAATAAACAAACAGAGTATGAGTGCATCAATCATTGCCAATGAAACAAGCAACATCAAGTTTAGCAAGACTACTTTCACTTCAAGTTCGAAGTGCTCAGGGAAGACAGAGTTGGATGATGCATGCCTTTGCTTAAATATATCTTCAAAAAACCTCAACATGTCATGAGAGAAGTGGACAAGTACGAAACTATTTGCTTTTTTTACGTCTAATGATTCAAAACATTCCCATAACACTGATGTCCTGTACTGATGTCTGTTTCGGTTTCCTGAAATTGATGTGAACCTTCCTGCAAATGTCAGATGAATCAGACCAGATTTACAATAAAACTAATTATTGCACAATTTAACATTTAAGGAGCCAGGAAGATATTTTGTTTTTAATTCAAGTTGCACTTCAGTGTGTCATTTTAACCACCAATATATACTTTCATACTAGAACATGTTTATGGCCTTGAGCAGTATTGCCTGAAGAATCCTCAAGCAGTTGGCATATTCGGAAAAGTTAATTTTGTTCCAACTGCAAAAATCTAGCAACTACTGCCTTCTATTAAGAGAAATCCCCCACTAGAGTCAATAAGGCACAGAAAGGAGATCTTGTAGTGCTGTGGAAAGCCTGCTGGCTCCGCAGGTGTTCCATGTGTAGTTTCAGAGACGTCCCCCTCCCCCCCCCCCCCCCCCTCCACAGGGACAAAAAGAGTCAAGTAACATGATCCCTCTGGCTTTTCCACTTTACAAAAGTTGCTCAGTTGAAAACAAGCAATTCAGTTTCACCTGCACTCCAGTGAATTGGCAATACAGTTAAATCAGTCAGTATTTCCTTATGCTACAAACTACAATACATACCCTCAGGCTGATTATCCACTTGCAATTCTATTAATAATTCTTTACAGTATAATACCAAAGTAATGTGTCCCCTGACAAAGCAAATTGCTTTCAGAGATTACTATTCTATTTCTGGCACTTCAAGTCAGGTCCAAAATTGCTGCAGTAAGCTTCTAGCCCCAAAGTCTAGATCACTTTTGTGTGGCCCCCCTGAGAAAAAAATTAAAATCAGTGACTTTTTGCTGTTGAAACAAGTTAATACAGAACCTTGATTTTACAAATACCCATCTTACGAACAATCAGTTATATGAACCACTTTTCCCAATGAAAGTTTAAAAAAGAAATAAATAAAAACCAGGAAAGCAGTGTCAAAGAACAAATCGACATCCCTTCATGTTCTGATGCCGTCAATGAAATGGAAATCAGTTTGCATCGCACCATATTGCCCCACTTGTGCACCATACTCATTAATTTTGAGATGTTCAATTTCATGAACTTTTCATTCCCAATTAGTTTGTAAGAGAGAGGTTAACAGCAAAAAAGCCTCTGTTTAAGTCTGAATGACACCAGAAGTACAGAAAGTGAAATAAGAGAAAAGTGACACTAACTGAAATCCAGAGACAGTATGCTGCTTCATGGTCTATTAAAGCAGTTAATATAATCAGCACTTGATGTTTGTATCTGCTTTTGGCCAAGTGTCCCTATAGGTACTCCACATCATGGAGTTTGCGTGCCTGTGCATTCCAGATTGGAGATATTCTCAGTAGTGTCTGGGGATCCGTCCCTGCATCTGAGCACAACAATGTCTGGGATATGAGGGTATATAGAGAACGGGCAGACCTGCAACCAGTCCAATTCTTTCTCAACCACAAAAGTTCAGTGAAAGACTCCAAGGCAGAAAGGAAGGAAGTGGGGCACCCATAGGGACACACATCTCAAAGGACTCCAGTTACTGTACAAGGTGCAGTCTTTTGGTTGAGACAGTCTGTCCTTTCATACATTCTGCAAATGAGATGAAAAGCCTGGGTGAAGCTCTAAAGACTCCAAGCTCCCCAACCCTCCTGGCAGAGTTGATGGTTATGAGGAATGAAGTCTTAAGGGACATATGAAGGAGGGAACAGTTCCTCATTGGTTCAAATGGCGGATTTCCTCAGCACATTGAGGATTAAGTTTAGGTCCCATGGCAGAACTGGTTCCTTAACATGTGGGAAGAGGTCGAACAAGCCTTTGATAACCCGCATAGTGGTTGGGGGGTAGTGATGAAGTCTGAAAACCTCTCATGGGGGAGTGAAAAGCTGTGATGGCAGTTAGGTGAAACTCAATCCCATGGTTTTTAAATTGAACAGGTAATTGAGAATGTGCATTAGACTAGCGGAGGCACAGATCGGGGATTGTACCAAGTCTGGAAGCGTCTCCATTTATGCAGGTAAGTTTTCCTTGTCAAGGGTTCTCTGCTATGAAGCAATACCGTCTGTACCTCTGGGGAGCAGTCTTGCTCTACACCAGGGAGCCATATCGCAGCCACGGCTTGAGGTGAAGCACTGAAGTTTGGATGGTGATGGATCCTGACTCCTGAGGAGATTTGCTGTCAGGAGAAGATGGAGAGTGCGGTCACAGAGACATGCGAACCTGCCCTGGGAACCATACCTGTCCTGGCCATGATGGTGTTTCCATTTCTTCAGAACCTTGAGCAGGAAGGGAGTTGGGGGAAGATAAGAGTACAGCAATATGCGAGGCCAAAGAATGACCAAAGCATCTCCCATCAAGTTGTGATCATGCCCTCCTCTTGAGCAGAAGCCTCTGTACGCCACATTGGATGATGTCACAAAGAGAGCCATCTGTATATGACCCCAGGTAAGTCATCTCTTGGAATACCTCATTATTCAGCGCACACTCATGGTTGATGATGAAAAGCCTGCCAAGGAAGTTCGCCACTGTGTTCTATAGTCCTGGTAGATAAACTGCTGAGATCTGTATGCAGTGTGATATGCACTATTTCCATAGTTTTATGGATTCAGTGCAAAAGGACCGGGATCTTGCTCCTCCATGAAGACTGATATAATATGTTGCTGCTCTGTTGTCCAGGAGTATTCTGATTGGGTGGTCCCTTATGATGGGTCGAAAGTGCTGACAAGTGATTCATTACAATACACCAATATGGAAGATTACCTCCTGAAGGATCTATTTGCCCTGACTTGAAAGGTTTTGGAAGTGTGTATCCTGTCCTATCATGAAGTGTCTGTAGCAAGTACCCTTGTGGGAGGAGACTCCAAGAACGGAACTTCCACGCACACCTTTTGTGGATCCTTCTCCCAGTTTAGAGAACCAATGACCCTCAGAAGTACAAATACTCCTTGGACAGGCCTTGCCTGTTGGAGGGGTAGAAAGTTCTCAGCCAGGCCTGAGGACACCCAGAGTGTAGTGTTGCTAAGGGTGTCACAAACACAAAGGCTATCATATGGCCCAGAAGTTGCAGGCATGCCCTTGTTTTGGTTTGTGGGCTCTGTTGTATTGTTGAGATGAGGTTGGACATAGTGGCAAATCTGTCCTGGGACAAGTATGCTCTGGTGGTGGTGGAGTCCTCAATGATGCCGATAAAATCTAACCTTTCAGGACGCAATTGTCCAGGTAGGGAAAAACTGTACTCTCAACTGGCAAAAATGGGTTGTGACAGCTGAGAGGATTTTGATAAGACCCTTGGCATGGTGGAGAGGCTGAGGGTAGGACACAATACTGGTAATGGTCTCTGCCTACCGCAAAATGTAAGAAATGTCTGTATCCCTCAAGATTTCGGTGACCAAGACATGGAGGTAGATGGGGTACTGTTTTTATGAGATCTGCTCTTGAAGGAGATGATGATCTTACACTTGGCTGATATATGGATGTCTCCGAAATAGAGGCACTGAGAATGTCAATCATCGACCGGGATAGGGTCCCAGAAAGAAAGACAGCACTTAAAAAGACTGGGGATTCCGGCATACCACAGAAACATCAATTATTGTTAACTAAGATCACTATAACTGCATGCTACCATATACAAGACAAGCTCAGGACAGGGTTGGGGAATTTTAAAGATTCTGAATGAGAAAAAGCTGGGCCAAGAGCCAATGCTAACTTCACTTTGAGAGCACACTTTCCCTGCATATTAAAAATAGCAGGATAGTTAACTTTAAGGGTACATAGTTATCTCCCCTCTGGATGGCTACTCTAATAACTAAATCCAAAATGGGAAGAAAGATCAGAACAAATTTAAGCTGTATATCAATTTATTATCTTATAAGGATAACCATCTGACTGCCAGTAAGGCCTACAAAAATGTGAATACAACTATTTGTGACGTATTTTCAACAAGATCCACCTATAGACTTTGCACAGAAACTAAGTAGCAAAATCCTTAAAACAAAGGGAAAAAAAAAAAAGAAAAGAAAAGAAAAAAACCCATTGATAGTCCAGTTAGGAGTAGAAAACACAATGTATTTTCACTTACAAGATAGCAGTCTCTCCAAAGTAGAGAGAATGTTACTTGTATTTTTTAGGAAGTGATGCAAGATTAGAAGTTGAATACCAGTGTTTCAATAGAAGCCACCCTGCTTTATTACAGATATTTTTTAATCATTAAAAAGGACGATTAAAAAAATTGAAAATTACCAGCTATTACAAATAACATTTAAAATGGTGACATTGGGAAGATTAGAGAAAAGTTTGTATGTTTTCCACACAGCAATCGGGAGAGGGGGAAAAAAAGCCAACCAACCAAACGTATTAAAAACCTGTAATCCAGTTAAAAGCAAAAGATGTCCTTGCTACTATGTCTACCAATTAAAAGGTAATAGTAACCTAAGACAATTTAAAGACAGAAGTACTCATTTAATGTAAGGTAATTACAGATGAATGGAGGAGGTCGAATTTTCAATAATGCATAAATGAGGTGCCTAACTTGCATTATGCGTGCTTTTTAAAAAAATCCCACCCAGGGCCTCAAACTCTTAAAATTAACCAAGGCCCTTTAGACATATGTAAACCTGTATTATTAATAAAAGGTATCTCACCAGCTACTTCCACAATATCACCAGGGACAATGTCTCTTGCTTTAATCCTTTGTACACTTTTTCTGTCTTGTCGATATACTTTGCCCATTTCAGGTTCATATTCTTTAAGAGCTTCAATAGCATTTTCAGCATTTCTTTCCTGAAAGAGGAAAAATAAGATGTGAGGTTTTAAAAGCTAGAGGTACTGTCAATTCTGACAACTAGAATAGTCACCTTCTAGTTTTCCACATGTAGCATTACATGAATACTATTTACTTAGTTATTCTATGTTCATTCACATAGAAGATACTTATTAGACCCACCCCATTATGTGGTTGCAACTTCCAAGTGAAGTTGCAGTCTGGAAAGCACAACAATAGAATTCAGATATTAGTGAGCCCTTAAACATCTAGAAGCCATTGCCTTGAAATTTGCAGTTACCTCTCCAGAACGTCCATTATGTTTTGGTAGCTGGAGATCATGCAAACTATATATTAAGGGATCATACGGTTATGTTTTGATGCAAAGCAACACTCCAGCAGAAACATCTATTAAAACTAAATGATTCTACCCTAGTTCAGCTGTGCTTTATTAAATAGAACACCTCCTCTGAGACTCAAATATACATCCATCCCACATCAGTCTGGTGTTTTCACTAGTTATTGATAGAAATTAAGATAGTGAAAAAAAATCCAATCATTAAACTTTCTCCAATACTGTTCTTGTAGCCCTCCTTTAGGTCTTTGTGCCACATTTGAACCATGTCAGATTAAGAGGCATGGACATATCCACTTACAACAGCTCCTTTGTTATCTAGCTTGGAAATAACTATTGTCCAAAAGCTCTTTTCTTCGCACTTGTAAAGTAAGGACACTACATGACATTTCACACCCATTACTTGCCAACAAAGTACCTACAACTTCCCAGATATAGTGCCAAAGCTGGAGCTCCAGAAAAGAAGGCAACGCACTTAAGAGTACGAGAGAAATTGTAACTATTTTTAGCATCGATACACACACAAAAAAACCCACCTGAATCTTCTTTCCATAATTTAGCTATGAATGAGTTACAGAAGATTGGACCTTAAAAATGACAAGGACCTTAAACTTTATTCTTTTCTTAAAGCATCTATGGGTATGTCTACAATGCAGCTCGGAGGCGCAATTCCCAGCTTCAATAGATACACACGTCCTAGATTTGACCAATCTAGTGCACTAAAAAGAGCAGTGAGGTAGCAGTAGCACAGGTGGCACTAGCACAGATTGACCAATAAACATAGTATTGTCTAGGTTTAGATGACAGAACCAGTAAAACACCAGCAGCCTATCTCCCTGAGCTCTACTGCTGTTACCACCAGTGGAAGTACTATGATGAGAAATTAAGAAAAATATTAGTACAGACATCTTAAGTCTGCCCTGTTGAGTATAGAAATTCAAAGAGGATGCTTTTGGGTATACAAAACTTAAACCAACTTTTCCAGACTTACACCAGCTGCCAAGGGTTCTCTCAGCTAGTACATGTCTGAATTGTATAAAGGCAGACAATTATCTTTGGAAATTCAAACCATGAGCCATTAGAGCCTAATTTGTCAGCTGGTAACACACAACTGATTGCTCATGTGTAGTACCAGTTCCAGCAGGCAATGAAATACCTTGAACTACACATGTTACAGCAGCTGATCTGGTGAATGTTGTGAAATAACTGGCAGGAGAAGAGATGGGGATGCCATATATACTAGCAGCTACGAGCTACCTTAGGTGTAAGGAAGGTGGGGAGTATGGCCTAAACCCATGGCATTTCCCCTCTCCACTGGATGAAAAGCAGAATTTAAGCTCTTGCTCATGAGCATAGGTAACTCTGCATATCCAGATAGGCACTGAGGTCTATTAAGTTTCAATGACCCTATTAAATTTGAGGGGCAAAGAAACAAGAATTATCAAATCAAATATAGAAGCTATCTGATAGGAGATCATAGTTAACTCAGTCTTTAGAGTTAGCAGCTCAATAAATGAATTCCATCTTAGAGAACAAGATACATGGGTCATCAGATATAAATAAATGCCACATCAGAAAACAAGCGCCCCCCCCCCCCCAATCTAATATTTGAAATTGCCAAAAAGAAATTTTACTTCACGGTCTAAAGTCAGCCCTTCAAAAGTTTAAATCTAGTTCTCCAAGCTGGTTTTCTCAGAAATATCCAGAATCTTTTTTTTTTTTAAATATAAAGTCAGACAACAATTGCATCTCCATCACCCACAAAACAAAAAAGAAAACAAGACAGAGAAAGTTTCATGAGAGTTAAGACAGAGCTCCTGCCCAGATTCTCTGTTAGTATTATCTAAAAACTTTAAAGGGCTGAAAGAGGAAATGTTTTTTAAAAATCAATTAAAGACAGATTAATTTAAACATTTAAAGTTTCTTCCAACAAAGAACATAGTGACTACATCCTTACCCAGTACATCTCTTTATACCCAATACACCCTGGATAGCCTCAAATTTATTCTCTTATATTTCTATTTTGTGTTGAATTACAATGTTCAAGTATTGGACAATGAATTAAAGCTATTTAGTTATTTTTTTTATTCTGCTCGTTTAAAAACTCAATCTTTTTGCAGTTTTTCTGACTGCACAAGTTCATTTATTTCTGGAATTTTTCAACCCATCACCAAGTAACAGAAAAAGTTTTGATGTAGGGATTATTGCATTAGGATAGGCTAGTTTTTATTACATGTGCATGTGAGTGAGTATATTGTAGATTTTAAAACGGTATGAAATTGATGGTTTTGAATAAATGAATCACCGAGAATCAGATACAGGCACTGAAGAGTGTAAACATTTTTCATCTTTTTAATTATAGTATATAGCATAATCCCTCCATCTTCCATAGAAAAAGATATCCACCACCAACTAAAGTTTTCTCTGCATTTAAGGAGAATGCTTGTGGGGGAGGGAGACATGGAGAAGCAGGAAGTCAGACTTCAGATGACACGCCCACATATGAAGTTTCTTCCTACACTGATTTTATCGTGGTCTCAAACAGATCCAATGATTTCTGGTTTTGGACTTTTAGCACCTAGAAATCGGAGACATACACTGGAAAAAGAAATCTTGAAGTTAAACTGCAAATTTTATTCCTCTAGAGTAAATATTCATATCAATAATACAGCATCATAATCCATCTACCCACAGCAGTGATTTTGCAAAGGGGAAAATATCAAATTTCCAAGTGATAGAATGTACACAAAGTTGTTCTATTTTTTAAATTAAGTTACTGAAAGTCCACAGAATTACCCCTATAAATGGCATCTAGCGGAAGCAACAACTACTTTTATGGGGGATAGCAGTCTTCTCTTGCTCCCCACTTGTGACAGTAAGGACAAAAAAAGGCAAGGCAATAAATGCCCCTCTAACCCTTACCCCACCTAAAGAGCAAGTGAGGATTTTTAGCTTCCCTATAAATTGCCAACAAAAAGTGGAAGCCAAGGCTGAGATTTTCAAAACTACCTAAGAGAGCTGGAGACCCAGTTACCATTAAAATCAGGAGAACTGGATGCCCAATTTCAATTAGGCACCTTTGAAAGTTTCAGCCCTAAAACATAACAGCTCCCTCACATCAAAATTCAATGATATCACTCTGAAAGTCTGCTCTCTTTCAAAAATCTCTCCTCTTCAACTCTCCCTTCTGGTTTACCAGGGACAGGGGGCAGTTTAAAAGTGGCCTTCTCTTGAACTTACTGGCAGGGCCGGCTCCAGGCACCAGCGTAGCAAGCAGGTGCCTGGGGCGGCCAATGAAGAGGGGGGAAGCACGTCCAGTGGGGGGGGGCCGTCACTCCCTCTCAGAGCGAAGGACCTGCCACTGAACTGCTGCCGTAGAATGAAGCGGCGGTAGAGCTGCCGCCGATCGCGGCTTTTTTTTTTTTCCCTCCCCCTTCTGCTGCTTGGGGTGGCAAAAACGCTAGAGCCGGCCCTGCTTACTGGATAGGAAGTGCCAGTACCATGGCTGGTCAGAAGATACCACTACCTATCCCCCTCTTACAATAGCATGTACGTTGATTATTCTGTTACTTGCCTTTCCATGGATGGGGGGTGAAGAGTCTAGTATTTAATGACCACACTGGGAGGAGAGGTATGGAGATTCTGTACTGGAGAACTACATTAGCCTCACTGGGATTTACTCCAAGACAAAGTAGCTGCTGTGATGAAGCAGGCTAGAGGAAGCAACTTCCATAGCCCTCCCCTCCAGGCAAGACCTTCCTAGATTCTCACTTTTCAGCATACAAGAGTACCTGCAGGACACAGCTCTTTCCATCCTGACCACTGCCTTACTCACCCGGACTATTTCCTTAGCAGGTATGGGAGGTGGGGGGGACTGCCACCTTCTTCCAGTGATGCTGCTGCAAGGAGCTACTGAAGTCAAAAGCAGGGATTGAAGGGGAGGAGAAAGGTGACACAATGACTGTCATCATGATGTACCCTACACTTTTTTTTTTTTAAGTTGGGAGGTGTGTAGGTGTAAAGATACCAACTGCCAAGAACAAGAACTCAGAGCCTCTGATGAGGCATCATATTTTAGTGCAAAAAATATTTTAAAGAATTTCTTCACATGAAAGAGCGTTTGATTTTATTTTAGAAGGTTTAGATTAGGCAGATGATGCAGAATTTGTAATATTTACTCTGCCACACAGAAGTTAATACATTCATAGTTCTGCTCTAACTAACTAGAAACACTTATACTCTAACTTGGTAACAAAGTAGTCCTATGCACTAGTTCTCATTAAGGACTCCTGTAGAAAACAAGAAAAGTTTTTTTGCATGGAGTGAATTAAAAAGATTCACCTGTAAACTCTTAACTGATTTAAAAAAAAAATTTGGTAGGGATTACAGGAAAGTAATTTTATAGAGAAAGCAGATCAGAAGGGTTTTTGTGGGGTTTTTTTTGGTTAGGAGGTTGTGGTGACAGAGTCAGGCTGATAATGCGCAGGATCTTACAATCTTAACTTTGAAGACAGTTTTTCAAAGCAGTGCAGTGGATTTACCCACACATTCCATTAATTTCAATGAACATATCTACTGAACTATATATGTAAAAAGACTTTATATTCACAAGAGTCTTGTTTGTTTAAATAAAAGCACAGGAAAAGTTTGAATATAGCAGCAATGACAAACCATTTAGAATTTACTGGCTGTTTTCCATTAGAGTAAATGCTCTCATGATGGAGAGCTATTTTAAATCTATTATATGAATGTAAGATAATTGTCCAAGAAAAATTAAATTCTCCAAATGTACAAGTTATTCACAAATCTAAGTCAAAAGGCATTATGTAGGTGCACTGACTTCAGTGCAAGCCTCTTGGGGGTTTAATAGCTTTAAACAAATCATCACACAAGTGTAACCATTTAAATATATCTAAATGGTTCCAAGAATGCCTTTGATTCTTTCAGCATGGAAATCAGTAGGTTTCTGATCTACAGCCTGCAGCTGAGTGCCCATTATACACTTTGGATTTTTTTCTTTGAATTGATTTTGTCATACTTGCTTTTGAGGCGTGTAGTTAATAGCAGAGTCCTTGTTGCAATGTATACTAAAAGGAAAAAGCTGGTCTACTAGGGATGCTTCAAACAAACAAGTGTATTCTACACATTGGCTTTTTCTCTTGCTAAGTTAGACTTGTGCATGCATTCTAGAGTGGGGTAAAACCCAAAGCATAAATATGGTTGCCTTGTTAACCTGCACTAAACTTTATTCCCCCCATCTTCACTAGATTTAGTGGGGGGAGTTTTAAACCAACATGAAGTATTAATTTATTCCAATCCAACACTAGAGGAAGAGCTTTTATATTCCTGGTAATTTTTTTTAGGAAAAGAACTCTTTTAAGACTAAGTTCTTTGTGGCAGGATTTTGGTCTACCTCTATGTACAGTGCCTATACAAACTTAATTGGATACTACTTTAATAAGTAAGTTAAAGACCCTAGATTTTGACAAACTTGAACAAAGCTTCCAAAAGAACAAGTACTATGTCACTATTTAACATCACGTCAGCTTTGAGGGTGAGAGGAAAAGGTGTAAGGAACTGCTCTATTGGTATGTTCCACATAAGTTATTTGATGTTGCATACGTATGTATTCAACTGTGGCACCTGCGATATTCACATTTTTTGAAAAATCTGACATCACAAAAAAATAGGCACAGTACAACACACAAGAATATGCATTATCTGAGACATGCTGACTACAGTGTCTCTTTAAAGTTGTAAAATATTTCAACTACTTAGGTTTACAAAACTTTAGAATTAATCTAGCAGGGAAAAGTTTGAAGGACCAAAGGTAAAATCTGCAGCAGCATTTGCATGTCACCGTACAATATTTCCCTTCAACTGTCAAAAATCACTGACCCCCTGAACATTTTTTCAGCTGCAAAGTAATGTATTTAATATTTTTATATTATTATGAGCATGCCTCTAAAATAAAATAAAGAAGTACCCAATAAGAGTTTACCCATTTGTAATTTAAGATAAATTGTTTTGTGCAGCATTTAACCAGAAAGTTAGAATTGTGCTGCCAACTGAAATCCCTGTCTAAGAAGTCAAGTTTTTTGCCTCTTTGTTAAATTTGATGATCTCCAATAGAATTTGGACATTTAGTTCAAAACCCTGAAAATTATGAAAGTTTAGATTAGTCAGATACTACCATGAATTTGAAATTGTAACTACTCAACTCTCCATATCAAAGCCTTAAAATCAAAGCCAAATAAAAATAAAATAAAAAAGTAAACTAGTTTGGCTATTTGAATCCAAGTAAAACAATACTGCCTACTTAACTTCAGAGATGCAAAACACCAAATTTAGAAATGCATACTGTGTGTAGTGGACCTATATTTTTTATTAAATACAAATGTGAAGATTCAAGTTTTCATTGTAGTATGGAATATAGATTCACATTGCTCTTTACATTTAGAAAGATCACTGAAAGAGAATACTAAAATTTAAGCTTCAATCAGGATTGGCAGTCTAGAATATAAGAGTCAGTGTGAAGTGATGGAAACTGCTACAATCATGATTGAAAGATCTTTGTTCAGAATATCAATAGGTTGAATCACTGAGTTTTGCAGTCTGTTAGAGCCCAATTTTTTAAGTTCTCAGCCATTTTGACTTCATGAATTATACCTGTGTGGTGTATAGCTCCAGTAATCATGGCATAGATATATGCCTAAGAGTCCTAGACCATTGTATATCTGAGGTAACCACCAATCCCCAACTTTGCTCTACATCTTATTTGTATGCAACAATTTCATTGGTTGTATGAGAAAAACTGCATAGATAGTAGTTTACCTAGTCCAACTCCCAAACCTATCCAACTGCATGGGCTTTAAGCTACGATATTATGGAGGCACCCTGGTGGTGACTCCATAGTTAGGTTAAGTTCTAAAACAGCGGTGGGCAACCTGCAGCCCATCAGTGTAATCCGCTGGCAGGTCGCGAGACAGTGTTTACATTGACTGTCTGCAGGTACAGCTGCCCGCAGATCCCAGTGGCCACGGTTCACCGTTCCTGGCCAATGGGAGTTGCGGGAAGCGGCGCAGGCTGCAGAGACGTGCTGGCCACTGCTTTCAGCAACTCCCATTGGCTGGGAACAGTGGGATAGAGTGATTAATATTTGTTTCAACAGCAAATAAAAAATGTTCAAGAACAGCATGAATTTTTAAAACTTAATAGCAACGTTCATGAATGGCTTCTACTATGAACAACCTCTTTCTTAACATGCTGAAAGATATATAAAGCAAGCCTATGGCCAAACACATCCATAAGGTATTCGGTGTTGTGTGTTTTAGTCTACCCACATGTTTAACATTTCTGTAGCTTCCATTTTAGCTTTGGGTCAACACTTCATGTCGGAATTCACATGATGATTTTGGTTCCGAGTAATTCAGTGTTAAGAATGTATATAGTACTTTTGGCATATGCCTATACTACTTATAAAATCTGTACTGTACAGACATCATCTACTTCTACTAATCAAGAGCCTAAAGGGTTTCTGAGGTTTGGTATTATAAAAATATGTTTGCTTACCTGCCACACACCCACAATTGCATTAGCTACTAATATAAGTAAGATTACAAAAGGTTCTACAAATGCTGTGATTGTTTCTTCACCTTCTTCAAACCAGGCCAAAACCTGCAAGAGAAATCACAGTTAATCTAAATACAACAGATATACACACATACACACGACAATATTACACAAAACATGGAGTTTAGAATTTTTACAGAAATATCTATACCGTTATCACCAGGGCTGTCGATTAAATCTTAGTTAACTCATGTGATTAACACACAAAAATTAATTCCATTTAAAAAAAAATCCCAATTGCAGTTTTAATCGCATTGCTAAACAATAGAACAACAATTGAAATTAATTAAATATTTTGGGATGTTTTTCTACATTTTCAAATACAACACAGAATACAAAGTATACAGTGCGCACATTATATTATTTTTATTCCAAATATTTACTCTGTAAAAGTGATAAAATAGTATTTTTCAATTCACCTCATACAAGTACTGTAGTGCGATCTCTATTGTGAAAGTGCAACTTACAAATGCAGATTTTTTTTGGTTACATAACTGCACTCAAAAATAAAATGTAAAACTTTAGAGCCTACAAGTCCACTCAGTCCTACTTTTTGTTCAGCCAATCGCTAAGACAAACGTTTGTTTACATTTACATGAGATAATGCTGCCCGCTTCTTACTTACAATGCCACCTGAAAGCGAGAAAAGGCATTCACATGGCACTTTTGTAGCAGGCATTGCAAGGTATTTACATATTTTAAAAAATTACTGCAACTTTATATTTCTAATCTGATTGGACTTTTTGCCTGATTGGCCACTGGTTTGTATTCTGGCACAGAACCATGCCATTAATTGACGATATCAACGAATGGTAGTCCCTCCCCCCCTTTAGTCAATATCAGTTTGTGGTGGGGATTTTCTACGAATACTTATTCTACAAAGTGAAATGCCTCTCTTCCCCATTTAAAAAAAATGGACTGCACAAAAGGTGATAAAGATGAATTTCAATAAAAACTCAAACTATAAAACGGGAGAGAGTTGGAAAAAGCAACATGCCTGCCAAAATTCCCTCTAATTTTTTACATCCATGTGCAGAATGAATTTTGTTATGTGCACCAATATGGAGGTGATGTGTGGCGGGGGTGGGGCCAAGGGGTTCAGCATGTGGGAGGGGGCTCAGGGCTGGGGCAGAGAGTTGGGGGGTGAGGGCTCTGGCTGTGGGTGCGGGCTCTGGGGTGGGGCCAGGGATGAGGGCTTTGGGTGCAGGCTGCCCCAGGGCTGCAGGCTGCCCCAGGGCTGCAGTGGGGAGAGAGAGACTCCTCCTCCCCCCCCAACCGCAGCAGCTCCAGGACTGGGACCAGGGGAGAGGCCTTTGATAGCCTGCTGCACAGCTGTGTAGCTTAGAGGGAATGCTTAGAGGGATGCTTGCCTATTGTGCTCCTCTTAAGCTTTCCTGTCAGGGTACCTAACAGTCACATTAAAATGGCAGATCATGAAAGCAAAAAACTAATTAAAAAGCGGGGTAGGGATGGGAGCTAAATCAACTTGGGAGGTTTATGTAAAGATCTAACAATGTGGCTTTTTCCTCAGTTCAGCTTTATTACATTCCCAAGCAGGAGGACAAGGCACCTAATGATTCTATACTTGTAAGGCTTCAGATGAAGTTTGGGGATTCTTTAGACTTTGTTATTTACCAGTCTCAAGCACTTCAGGTACATATGGAAAAGGCCTATTCATTGAATAAATTCAGGCAAAATTCTGCAATAACTAAGGAGACAGAGTCTAATTCTTTAGTCAACATGTTGAGCAACAGGAAGCCTGTTAAGTGACAATAAATGGGAACAATGTGTAGAAATAATTAGTGCCGGTAGTCAGGCAACACCATTATGAGTCACTGACCAACTCAGAAGCACCTTACCAAGTAGGCCAAAAAGCAAGCAGTTACTAAAGACACCATCATTCCGCTATCATGCTGCACTAGAACTATTGCTCAATTGTGAAACACTCCAGGATGTTAAAAAGGATGAAGGATCAACAGCACGAGAGCCCTGAACAGAAATAATCTGAACCACCAAGCAAGACCAATATGAGAGCAGATTTTATTAGGATAGAGGAAATGTCCAATATTGTAACTGGCAAGGCAGCATTGGGTTAGGCTCAGATTAGAGGAGTGTATAGTCTAGAGGAAAGAGCATAGGAGTTCCTAGCTTCTAGTCTTCAGTTCTAACCCAGGCTCTTTCACGGACTCATTGACTGCATCTACAACCTGTAATTCACTGTTGCTGCAGCTCCACCAGTGGTAGCAATGGTGTAGGCTGCAGTTTGGATGGAACTCTAGTGTTTTTAACTATGGTGTTCAAGCTCTTTCTACAGACAGCCTCCACTACTGTTACAACCAGTGGAACTGCAACAGTGGTTAGTTAACATGTTATTATCCTAGTGTATATGAGGCCAGTATGTGGCCCTGGTAAAGCCACTTAGCATCTGTGTCAGTCTCCACCATATGCACGATGAAAAAAATACATCTCGGAGGTCCTATGAGGAATAGTTAATCCTGCTTTGAAGATATAAAGCAATGAGAAAGCAAGCGTTTTCCAACATTCATTTCAGCATATTAGATAAGCCACATGGAGATCTGGCTGTCTCAGGAAGAACCAATATAATGTTGTAAGGGAAACTTCTAGGTTTATGATTATGGTATCAGTACACCTGTACTCAATAGTATCAAGTATCTAAGACAGTGGTTCTCAAATTTATTTGATTGGACCCCCCCTTTTTTTGTGTCTGTAGTAGTTTACACAGCCCCACCACACAAGTACATATATTGATTAAAAACAAACAAAAAACACACAACCATGCAACTCTCATTGACTATTAACAACAGTAAGGCATTGATTCAAACAAAGCCAACAATCCATTGTAATAAGAGCAAAAGTAAAACTGGGATTGTGGCCAATGCTTACAATTAAATGTGCACACCATGTCGTACCAAGCAGATTAACGTATAGATGGCAATGACTTTGTATAATGCTCTGCAAGCTTAACAGAAATCCATCAAAATGCACAGTGCCATCTAGAGTCATATGCACAACGCCATCAGAGGACCTGATATGTCTGGAGGAAGGCCTATCCCAACCTCTGCTCTAAGAGACCAGACGAAATTCAGACAGAGATCATAAGAGAGCAAATATGACAGCTTGTTTTAAGTCTTAACCACAGGTGTACTGATACCATAAATCAAGCCGATAGCCAGATCAAAATCCTTAAGATGTTTTAGAAGTCCAACAACTTCAGTTCCCAAAACATGGACCTTTCAAAAACATTTGACAAGAGTAAAATTTAAGCGAACCTATTAATTCAAACTACAATTAGCAAGAGACTTTTGTTAGCAAAGAATAATTGCTGGGATCTAAAAATGAGAGAATTTTCCTGTATGTCAAGATGCTCTAGTGACTGTACCCATAAAAAGTTAAAACAGGAGTCATTCAATTGCAAGTATCTGATCTTCTGTCAAAACAGGTTATGGGAGAGTGTCAAAATAACTTTATGTACATTTGATGAAACAACTGTATAGTAGCCTAGATTTAATAAGCACTAGCAAGTGATCAGGGATGAACAGATAAATAGCAACACATTAGTTTTTAAAAAATTACCAACATCTTTTTTGCTTTACTAAATAGAGGAACAACAGAAACCAAAGTTTGGAAAATAACAGAATCTATAATTATTTATTACTTGTTTTATTGTATTGCCTAGGGTCCTAGTCACGGACCAGGACACCTTTGTGCTAGCCACTGTACAAATGCCTTGCTATAGTGGCAAATAGTTCCATCAGCAAACCTCAGGATCTTACAATATACTAAACAAAACAAAAAAAGAAAAATAAAAAGACAGAGGGTCCAGTGATATAATGACCCTTACTGATAGAAATCTGGTAATCAAATCATTGTAGCACGCATAACCATGAACATGATTAAGATCAACCATTATGGTATTGTTTTAAGACAATACTTTTGATAAAATTTAAATTTAAAAAAATTCTATATACCTAAGAGGCTAAAAAGCAAAGAAAAGCAAAAATGTGCTTTTGCTTTTTTTTTGTTTAAGTGGAAAGGAAGTCTGGAGACGAAGGGAAATATCGAATACACATACTGCCCTGACACCTGAATGGTGAGAACAAATCTAGAGGGCAACTCTGATTCAACAATGTTTCATTTGATTGCTCAAGCCATATTTAATTGGTTTGAACTGTTGGCAGAAGTCTCTTAAGCAAAGTTTAACAAGGATGGGGCCATGGGACTTTTAAAAAGAAATATACACAAAGACTAAAAATTACACATGCAATGACGAGCAAAGAATGCTTGTGGCTCAGGGTGACTAAGAGAAGCAGAGGATGCTCCAGTAAGCCAGCCAGCAATAAACTGAATGGTCATGAAAACAGTTAGAAAAACCAGAATTAAATTAATAATGCTATGCAAGCACTTGTACTCCTAAAAAAGCCTCACTGTTTCAGTATTTTTTAATACCAGAGCACATAGATTAGACATTTGAGACAAACATATTAGGAAAGATGGAGGGAACAACAAAAACAGAATACAGTATACAAAGAGTGGAAGTTCTGGGATGAAATCCATTGCTCGGGAGATTATACCTACTGATCCATTAGACAAACTGGATTCTGTTATCAGTGGCCAAGAGGCAAGTTTTTTACTTGAGAATGGCAGCTTAGAGGCAAAATATGAAAATCAAATGTTATCCTACCAATAAAAGGTCTTAGACCAATTAAAGTGGGTTCCTTTTACCTATGCAATGTTCCTGGAATAAAAAGCTTGTTCTCCCAGGCCATTTAGATTTTTAACATTTACTATAGTTTGGCCAAACCAACAGTGCCTGATTACCATTATCCTTTTTGTATTTCTCTAGAGTACAGTTTAGACTCGGTTAAAAATGCATATTTTGATTCAAATGTGTCTATTTTACTGGATAGGATATGTTTAATTTAAAATTAAACAAATAAAATATCCCTTTTTAATAGTCTCAACAAGAAATTATTCCATGCACAAAGGAATTGCCAACCAAAGATTAAGATTCTTTCATTTCTCCC